TATATATATATATGTGTGTGTGTGTGTCTGTATGTATACCTCGTTCACCAAGCGCTGCATCCTATGCGTGTAAGACTTGAGGAAATCCTTTTCTTCTTTGGCGTCCACTGCCATGCCCAAATCAAATTCTACCTCAGTCAAGTCTTTTGACATATTTTCTCTGTTTTGAGATTGAGAATCATTTATATGAAATTGGTTCTACAAGTCAGATATTAATGGCAATAAATAAGGTAATAATTAGGGTTTTGGGGTTTTTTTGGAGTTTTAGGGCAATAGTATTGAGTAGTGTTGCCTGTGTCATTGAGGATGTATTGCATATAGAACTGTTAGAGATAGGAGACCACTTTCATGAAACCGGTGCTAAAAGTCAGATATATAATAAGGCAATAATAGCTTGAGAATTGGGCATCGCTTTCGCAAAATCGGGTCTAGAAATCCGATATATAGAACTGTTGAAGATAAGACCACTTTCACGAAATCAATTCTTAGAGTCTTGATGTACAGGGCCAAGGAGGCTTGGGAATTGGGAATCATTTGCGTTTAATCGTTTCTGAAGGTCAAATGTATTGCACTGTGAAAGCTCGAGCAAAAGAAAATGGGAAATAACTTTCATGGATTCGATACGATAAGTCGGATAGATAGAATTATATAAGCTTCATAATCGGGAATTTATTTGCCGAAATCAATTGTCCAAGGTCAAAATAATACAGATATGCCAAAAGAAAAAACTTCCCAACGTTCTCAGCGACTTCAAAATCCCCCCCCCTCCAAAAAAAAAAATTGTCTCGGCGATTCAATGGGTGTAGCCAAGCCAAACGGTACCCCACGAGCTAACAAGTATCCTTCAAGATGTGGCGGAAATACACAAAAAAAGTATCTAACATGCCAACACAAAAACCAAAAAACCAAAACAACCAAACAACAAAAACCACGTTTGTATTGAAATGCACGCCCTTGCAACATAAATGAGACGACAGGCACTAGTGCTGAACTTACTACTCGGAGTATACATATTAGTAAGATAAGACTGACAACAACGTCTGGGGTGTCCTGTTTGGTGTGAACAACACCAGTAAGATAAGACTTACAAAAACGTCTGGGGTGTCCTGTTTGGTGTGTGTTGTTCACACATCGGCTGAAGGGTCCCCCTGACACAACATCTGCAGTGCACTGACTAGCCGCTCTAGCGTGCTAGTCTTGTTGGTGTGCATCCGCAGCTATATGCATCCGCAACTATGCGCAACCAACCGTTGCCTAGCAACTATTTAAAACTGCCATCCTCTTACACAATTTAAGTTCTAGGGTTCAGGATTTTAGGATTTTAGGGTTGCTACATGATCCTACCTGTAGGCTTCGAAGTGGTCGTCCTGTGCCTCGTGCCTGTCCTGCAGTGCCTCTGCTTCGGTGTACTGGTGCATAAAGTCCGTCGAGTTCTGTGCGTGTGACAGCGGCGACACCCTCCCGCTCGACAGGTTGGAGTGGGGAGACTCGCCCGTGGATAGCAACGAAGTGGGGTGTGTGTGTGTGTGCGTGTGTGTTTGTGTGTGGGACTGATGCAGGTTCAGATGCACCTGTGCCAGGGAAACAGGAAACAGGAACCGGGGAGGGGTTGTTGTGAGCTGTGAGATGGATGAGTGCTAGGGTGACGGTAGGTGTGGTTGAAAGGGTCGATAAAGGGGGTGTGATGGCGTGTGTGGCAGGGTGGTATTGTGTGGCGGGTGTAGAATCAGATGGGCATGGGAGAGGCAGCGGAGAGGCTCTGTTAGGCTGAATTAGGATAGATAGGATATGGGTGCTATAAATATATATATATATATATATGTCATTCATACATACATACATACATACATACATACATACATACATAC